GGTGACCTTGCAACAAAAACATCGAGCAGCATGATCTTGGCCCATCTTGGTAAGCTAGTGAAGCCAGGATCACTTGGAACCACAGTTTAGTGTATAGTTGTAAGAGACTTGCAGACACGAACCTCCCCACACAATGCTCCCTCCCTTGAACCTCCCCACACAATGCTCCCTCCCTTGAACCTCCCCACACAATGCTCCCTCCCTTGAACCTCCCCACACAATGCTCCCTCCCTTGAAACCATAAAAGCCTTCAACGGCCAACAACGTTATCAGCCCACTTGGAGACGGTACCAACTTTCAACAACTGCGAGGACCCACCAGTGCCGGGAAAGCTTTCCCGATCCTTCCCCCAAGGGAGTCGGTCGGCCGAGCGGACAGCACACTGGACTTGTGATCCTGTGGTCTCGGGTTCGATCCCGGGCGCCGGCGAGAAACAATGGGCAGAGTTTCTTTCACTCTATGCCCCTGTTACCTAGCAGTAAAATAGGTACCTGGGTGTTAGTCAGCTGTCACGGGTTGCTTCCTGGGGCGGAGGCCTGGTCGAGGACGGCCCGCCGCGGGGACACTAAAGCCCCGAAATCATCTCAAGATAACGGAACCAGAGGAAATTGTAACACGAACAACCCACTACAGACCCCCAAAGGGAAGCCACAAATGTACAAGAGACACAGGAGACGCTACAATTAGAGAATGAAGAAGTAAATGAAAGAGACCTCGAACTGTAAGTGTGCCTCAATGTCACTCACCCACACTGACAATAACAGACTCGGGCACAGGACCCCAAGAGACAGGAGAAACTTTACACACGATCTAATTCTTTCCAACAAGCAAGACCCGCATGGTTAACCCAATGACCCATCACGAGAGTGTAAAATCGACAAATAAAATTTCACCACAACCTTCCCAACACCACCACCAGCAGCATAAGCAGCACCAGCAGCAGCAGCACCACCACCAGCAGCAGCAGCACCACCACCAGCAGCAGGAGCACCAGCACCAGCAGCACCTGCTCATCAGCAACAATGATGGCAAGACCACACATCAGAAAATGAAGAAACGAAGACGTTTCGGTCCGCTGTGGACCATTATAAAGTCTAGTAATGGAAAGAGTGGAAGTGAAAAAATAAGGCAAGATAGTGAGAAGCAAAGTGAGAAGCATGCAAGAGAAAGAAGAAAGTGAGAATAAGATGAAAGAAAAGAACGAGATGAAAAGTAAAAAAAAAAACTTGGTCGTTTCTTCATTGTGTGTGTGGGGTTTGTCATCATATCTTCAGTCACGTTATTGTGACTCATCGTCTGCAAGTAGCAGCAAGTTTAACACAATGTGCAATGGATACGCCTCGAGCCCAAGAAATCCACCGAGTGGAACAGGCCCACCAGTTTCAACAGTCATCCAGTCACTAAAAATAATACAACACAAAATACTAAGCTTCTGGACTCCGCACAGAACAATGGAACTCAGCCACTTGTACAGAGACGAAGTCCCTAATACTCTAACAGCCTTGGAAAAAAAGGAAGGAGAGTAGATAAAGATATTCAACTGCAAAACATACCAGGTCAACATAGCTGACCAGGCCAACGATGGAGCACCAATTGCTGTCAGGAGAAATATACCTCGCAAACTCCTACAAAAATTTCCGGTAAAATTCCTGGTAACTGAACTGTAAACGGTTAAAGATACAATCTTCGCTGGAACGTGAATTACAGACCCATTCCCCATCTCGAAGTCCCCACTAAACTTGTGAAATACATGGAAGAGTACATCAAATTTATAAGGTCTTGCTATCGACTTTAAAGGGGCAAGACTTATTCCTCATTGCAAGGTTTAGTCGAGCATAATTTTATCGAGTCAGCCCAAGGAGAACAGCCTCGAGTATAGCTCTGATTAACCAATGTCCTGATAGTCTTAATGTTAGCCCTGGCGTGTACAAATTAGATTCGTTTTAAGTGCCAATATTGCACGTCAGGTTATACGAAGGTAAGTATCTCTGTAACGAGTTTTAATTTTTGTTCTCGATTTTCTCGTAATTATCAAAAGAAGACAATTTACCTTAGTACCTCATTCAATTGGTTCGTTTTCTGTGGAACGAATTCCTATGCGCTGGGATATAATAATAATAATAATAATAATAATAATAATAATAATAATAATAATAATAATAATAATAATAATAATAATATTTTATTTAGGTAAGGTACATACATACAATAAATTTTTACAAAGATTGGTTGACTTATAGGTAGAGCTAGTACATACAATGCCTAAAGCCACTATTAGGCAAAGCGTTTCGGGCATAATTATCTATAGTGATATAGATATAGATAATGATATAGATTTATAATATCTATATCTCTATCTATCTATATCTATCTATATAACTCACGCACTCTCTCTCTCTCTCTCTCTCTTTTGATATTCTTAATATTTCATCCAAAAGTTGAGGACGAAAAGCGAGAGAAAGAAATAATAGGTTAGTTTTCCTTAGTTCCCGCGTCTTTTATATCTATACAAGGACAATTTCTGCCGGAAACGCTGCGCATGCTAGTGGCTTTACAAGACTGTAAAACGTCAAATCTCTGTACTCTCATTAACCCAATGTATCTTCTTGTATATACATAAATAAAAAATAAATAAATATTATTCATTCTTCATGAGATTGAGAGAGATTTATCTTCGTTGACTGATGGTGTGGTGACCCCTCCCATGGGGGCTGGCCACCTGTGCGTCAGGTGACCTCCAAGTTCAAGTATGTTTATTGAGACAAGAAAGAAACACATCTCAAAGGGATAGAGTAGCTTAGGCTATTTCCACCCCCTTAGGGTGACCACCACTCCTACCCCCTCTACTCAAATTCTGTCTTGCACTGATGAAGGCCACACGGCCGAAAATACGTTAAGAAATCTTTGATAAAAGTTTTATTTTACCGCATATTGTTCAATATATTTATTAACATTATATATCGAGACGTTTAGGCAACTGATCTAAGAGCAGTAGACGACTGGAAATACTAGCAAAACACTGGGTACTACAGGAAGCACAATGCCGCAGGCGTTTCAAAACCTAACTAGCCAATATCCTAGAAATACACTAGTAGCACTAAAGGGTGATACTGGAGGAGGTCCTAGCAAGTACTAGCACGATACACGAAGACAATACCACCCTCGCAGCAAGCCTATATACTCTTATTCGCCCCCAGACAGCTACACACAGCGGGAAAAAAACTCACGAAGGAGAGACAGGAGCAGCCCGAGAAGCTTCCAGAGTCCAGCTTCCACACCCGGCCCAGGCGCAGCCGGGGCGCGGCGGGGCGAGGCTCCGGCCGGGCCTGCACCCGACGGAGGCGAGGAAGGGGAGTGAGATAGTGTGGGCGGGGCCTCCACCCGTAACCTTATCCTAGTTATTCTCATAATACTAACATACGCACCCCCGGCCTCCTGTGTTCATAGTACTCTTGGTAACTGTGTGCGCCATCGTACATATATTGACGTAATGGACAATTAGTAGAATAATACATATATTATATTATTGTTCATACATATATTATATATTATATTATATTTATATTGAACATATATTGTGTATTGTATTGTATAGAACATCTATGTATTGGGTTCTGAGTTCAGCCTTGAAGACCCAATTCTTCAAGTAAAACTATGTTAGAAAACGAGTTTGTGATGGAAGGAGTAACTGAAAGACATCATGAATGCCTGATGTCACCCCCGTGCCTCAGGCACGCCTTCCTGTGATGTCACCCCCGTGCTTCAGGCACGCCTTCCTGTGATGTCACCCCCGTGCCTCAGGCACGCCTTCCTGTGATGTCACCCCCGTGCCTCAGGCACGCCTTCCTGTGATGTCACCCCCGTGCCTCAGGCACGCCTTCCTGTGATGTCACCCCCGTGCCTCAGGCACGCCTTCCTGTGATGTCACCCCCGTGCCTCAGGCACGCCTTCCTGTGATGTCACCCCCGTGCCTCAGACACGCCTTCCTGTGATGTCACCCCTGTGCCTCAGGCACGCCTTCCTGTGATGTCACCCCCGTGCCTCAGGCACGCCTTCCTGTGATGTCACCCCCGTGCCTCAGGCACGCCTTCCTGTGATGTCACCCCCGTGCCTCAGGCACGCCTTCCTGTGATGTCACCCCCGTGCCTCAGGCACGCCTTCCTGTGATGTCACCCCCGTGCCTCAGGCACGCCTTCCTGTGATGTCACCCTGCACGACTCGCTTGCTAGCATTGTGAACTTGACAAGAACCCTCACATGTAAGTTAAGGCGCTGACGAAACAAATGTATATTATGATGAACTTGCGAGTCAGGAACGAACACACACACACACACACACACACACACACACACACACACACACACACACACACACACACACACACACACACTACACTGGACACCATCCACAAGTATATTAGTAAGTGTACGACTGATGTCTTATCAAGAAGAATTTGAGGGTCCCTAAAATATAGAGCAGTGTCAGGAATTTCTGCCTATTTTCCCATTCAAATTGTTTTTAACTTACGAGGCCCCAGGAACCCGCCCCTCAAGGTGACGAAGAGCATCATAAATGCACCAATTGTTACACGTCACTTCGTATAGAAAGTGACGTGTAACATATACACGTATACAAGACAGTTTAAAACATATCTAACTTTACCCAACTTAGCACTGCATAACCTTCGCCCATACAGCCCAACTTTTGTTAATACAAACTAACCTAACGATAAATACCATTGTTAAAAATCAGGAAACTTGCTTTATCAAACGGTCTTGTGAATGATTTAACTACCTCAGTATAACATACTCTTGGGGGGGGGGGAATGCCCTAAACCACCCCTACCCCCCCATATATATACTAGCGAAGAATCCAGCCAAAACACCGCTCCTGTGCCAGATAAGTCCACTACGGGCTCACCATAGCCCGTGCTACTTGGAACTTGTTCAGAGTAGCTGAATCAATAACAGCAACCTGTCAGAAGTAATACGAGTACTCACGGATTTGGTCTTCCTGGAGAAGAGGGAGAGGAGGCCTCGCCTCTTGGTGTCCTGGGGCTGGGAGATGGCGGCCATGGTGATGAGGTCGGTGACGGAGAGCGGAGGGGCGTGGTAGTCGCGGGGCACCACACTAACCTCCTGCAGCTGGTAGTCCGCGAGTGTGCACGACTCCCGTAGCTTCTCGTCCACGTTCACTGTCAACACAACACTATGTTACCACACGCCACCCACCTCAACACCCCGTTAACACACAATATATTGCTTACACTCACAATTCCCAGCATAACACCACTGCTTATTGTACACGCAACGCCTTACGAAGCTCGTCAACATTACCTTGAAATAGGTAAACAGTTTATAATCACGGTGTTAGCACCACCACCGTCACCACACAACACCACACCTTCACAACACACTATACACTAGTCAGCAAAGCTTCCTTCGAAGCAGGTGTGGTGTAGACCGGTGCCCACCGCCCAGTAGACTGGTGCTCCGGTGCCCACCGCCCAGTAGACTGGTGCTCCGGTGCCCACCGCCCAGTAGACTGGTGCTCCGGTTGTCTAACAGTCGTGCCCAACACACTAACAAGTCAGGTGGCAACCAGCAAGACGTGAACAGCATAAGACCTTACTTTCACTGCATATAAACATGTCACATGACTGTGAAGGCCCCAGCATCACGGAGCGAGCACTCTGCACCAGCAGTATAGAGGCGCGCCATGCCCCATCACAGACTACACACAAACACACGGCTCCTCGTCTCCAATACACCCACTTTATTTTCAATGTGTTCAAAGTTTCAAAAAATATATTTAATAACATTCAGCTGCTTCAATATAGCGAATTTGTATTGCCTTGATTTTGTGTAAATAACTTTATATATATATGCAACCCAGAGAGGAAATGCGTGCTGTATCTTGGGCACGCACCCCCCCCCCCCCACCCCCCAGAAGAGCTTGACGAGGTCTTCGAATAGTGATTGAGGGGTGTGTGTGTGTGTGTGTGTGTGTGTGTGTGTGTGTGTGTGTGTGTGTGTGTGTGTGTGTGTTTGTTTTCTGTAAACTGTAAATCAACCCGTTTTCAGACTAAGTCCATTCCATCCAGCGGTCAACCACACGCACTCATAAATTTTTAACATGATGTTCATTCAAAGAAGTAATTTTCTCAAATATAAATTAATATTACTTATTATATATTAGCATACTGTGCATATTTAGGAATTGGTTAGGTGAGGTGTTTATGTTCTGTTGGCGATTATATGTATTCGTGGTACGTGGGCGAAGCATTTACAGCGTTATAGTTCGAACAAAAGTTGTCAGCGAAGCACTTGTTCGAGATGCGAGTCGTGTGTAAACCGGTTTTCATTCATAAACAGGGGGTTTGGCGGGGGCATGACATCACATGTGGCCTTTGTTTACGAGGACGGCCTGATGGTGCTCATTACACGAGCTCCAGCAGCCTTAAATTAAACTCAAAGGCTTAATTTGACAATGAAATATAGATACCGGAGTACGCAGGCGATGAGTCACAATAACGTGGCTGAAGAATGAATGTCGAGTGTCTCAAATCGACTTGAGAATGGTCCAGGACGGATCGAAACGTCGTCGTCCCTTCACCTTCTAGTGTGTGGTCTGGTCAACAAGATACCGGAGTACAATGAACAAATCCACAAGGGCCGTGACGAGGATTCGAACCTGCGTCAGAGAGCATCCTAGGCGTTTTGACCATGTCGTAGCTCAGTCGATTAAGGCAGTGTCTGGGATGCTCTCGGACGCAGGTTCGAATCCTCGTCACGGCCCTTGTGGATTTGTTCATTCGATGCATCAAGCAATTGTGATTTCGGTGTGTTACCGGAGTACAATCTTCTCAGACTTGGCAGGAAGTACAAGGTGGGGCCAGCTTGTACATCAAAGACACGCTTATCTCCACGGATAAGGGGGCCTCGTAGCCTGGTGGATAGCGCGCAGGACTCGTAATTCTGTGGCGCGGGTTCGATTCCCGCACGAGGCAGAAACAAATGGGCAAAGTTCCTTTCGCCCTGAATGCCCCTGTTACCTAGCAGTAAATAGGTACCTGGGAGTTAGTCAGCTGTCACGGGCTGCTTCCTGGGGGTGGAGCTCTGGTCGAGGACCGGGCCGCGGGGACACTAAAAAGCCCCGAAATCATCTCAAGATAACCTCAAGATAACGGAGCTGCTGAACAGCACAAATGATATGCTGGGAATGCCGATGATTAAAACGGAATGCCGATGATTAAAACGGAAATCATACATGTAGTTATTACCCTTTGTATAAAGTCACCAGAGGCAAATCCTCAGCAGTTTGAAGACCAAGTAAGGAAAATAGAACACTGCTTAGAAAACCTAACAAATCATATTGCTTGAGGACTTCAACTTACTACAAAATTAATATGGAAAAATGTGGTGAATGCATTTATAGCAGAGAGACTCCCCCAGGAAGCTGTCTAAACGAATAGTCACACAAATGATCTCTTATAGATGCGGTACAGATTTGCCTTAACCCAGTAAATAGTAGAAGCAGTTTGAAACACAAACACCCTACACATTATGTTCTACAATGAACTGATTGAGTATATAATGATCACAAATACATGAACTCGGGTCACAAGCTAATCAAATTTCAGACAAGTATGGTCAATAGACCTGTGCAGCCAGTGTCCAATCCAAGAGGACGACAATTTAGCAAATTAAAAGTGAATAAGCTCATTAACCTGGATCTTATAAACTGGATCTCTACCTCATAGAAATAAGGTGGGTAAAACGGGTAGAAAATACGAACCTAAACCAGTGCCAAGAGAAAACGGGTATCGCAGGAGGTGCAAAATATCCTTGTTGTAGTAATAATAATAATGTCTGGGATGCTCCCAGACGCAGGTTCGAATCCTCGATACGGCCCTTGTGGATTTGCTCAATAATAATAATAATAATAATTTATTTGCAAGAAAGTACAATGGGTTGGCGAGATTACATAGGACTAGGAAATGTAGATGTTTCTCTCTCAGAATGTTCGGTAATATGTTTATTGCTTGTGATGTGTGTATATGTATGTATTAACACGATGTACTGAACGGGGTGAGAATAGCTTGAGCTACCTCATCCCTTTGTGTGTATTTTACCTCAATAAACTTATTTCAATTTCAAAACATAGGACTGGTATTTTACATTCACGTGAAGCCACTAAGACGCATAGCATTTCGAACACAGTTCAAGTTCAGACTTGAGACTTCAGACTGTGAGTACTCGCCTAACTGTTGAAGTGCAGAGGTGCATAAGGTACGCTGAGGGAGACGAGTCTAGCAACATTAAGGCCTAAGACTTACCGACACATAAGGGGCATAACTGGCTGACTTCCCAGTGTTCAAAAGAGAACTTCATTAACACGTCCCAAGGATACCTGATCAACCAGGCTGTTATTCATACGTCAGGCTGCGAGCAGCTGCATTCAACAGCCTGGTTGATCAGACTACCGACCTGGAGGTCAGGTGGTCACCTGAATGTCTGTACGCCGCATTTCGGTACTCATTTCCACCAGTGTGCCCTGGTGCGTTGTGTGCCCTGGTGCCTGTGTGTGTGTCCCTGGTGCCTGTGTGTGTGTCCCTGGTGCCTGTGTGTGTGTGTCCCTGGTGCCTGTGTGTGTGTCCCTGGTGCCTGTGTGTGTGTCCCTGGTGCCTGTGTGTGTGTCCCTGGTGCCTGTGTGTGTGTCCCTGGTGCCTGTGTGTGTGTCCCTGGTGCCTGTGTGTGTGTCCCTGGTGCCTGTGTGTGTGTCCCTGGTGCCTGTGTGTGTGTCCCTGGTGCCTGTGTGTGTGCCCTGTGCCCCCTGTGACGGAAGCGTGTTCAACAGTCACCCCAACAGTGTTCCAACATCGCGCCCATTCATCCCTAGCTCTCTGTAATCTCTGGAATGCTGTTATCACTCCACAGGATTACAGGCAGTCATTAGCTTATCAAACTCGTAGATATTCCACAAATTACAGCCGTGACTAACTACACAACAGCCACCGATAACAGCCACAATACATCGCGCGATAAAACAGGCATGTGATAAATGTGCCAGTCGATAAGATATTGGGCACATCAACTTTTCCAATCAAGTCGATCAATTTTTTAAAACCAAGAAAAACCCAACACCGGCTCGAGCGAACAGGAGAAAACGGCCTACCTAGATGAGGCACTAGATGAGGGACTATGGTATTTTCTGGCCGTCGAAGGCTCTTCAGAAGTAAACTCCGAGTCTACACAGAGAGAAGTGGAGGTACACCACCTCAGAGCTCGATCAGGTCTGAAGGTCAAGCATGCGTGTGGGTGTTGGGAAGTCCAGGATAAAGGGATGGAACTAAAAGTACGGAACAGTGAGTAAAATATGACGGGTAATGAGAGCCTTGGAGGCAGTGTGGTGTAGAGGACCTGACAGTGTGGTGTAGAGGACCTGACAGTGTGGTGTAGAGACCTGACAGTGTGGTGTACAGACCTGACAGTGTGGTGTAGAGGACCTGACAGTGTGGTGTAGAGACCTGACAGTGTGGTGTACAGACCTGACAGTGTGGTGTACAGACCTGACAGTGTGGGGTAGAGACCTGACAGTGTGGTGTAGAGACCTGACAGTGTGGTGTACAGACCTGACAGTGTGGTGTACAGACCTGACAGTGTGGGGTAGAGGACCTGACAGTGTGGTGTACAGACCTGACAGTGTGGGGTAGAGGACCTGACAGTGTGGTGTAGAGACCTGACAGTGTGGGGTAGAGGACCTGACAGTGTGGTGTACAGACCTGACAGTGTGGTGTAGAGACCTGACAGTGTGGTGTACAGACCTGACAGTGTGGGGTAGAGGACCTGACAGTGTGGTGTACAGACCTGACAGTGTGGGGTAGAGGACCTGACAGTGTGGTGTACAGACCTGACAGTGTGGTGTACAGACCTGACAGTGTGGTGTAGAGACCTGACAGTGTGGTGTACAGACCTGACAGTGTGGGGTAGAGGACCTGACAGTGTGGTGTACAGACCTGACAGTGTGGTGTACAGACCTGACAGTGTGGTGTAGAGACCTGACAGTGTGGTGTACAGACCTGACAGTGTGGGGTAGAGGACCTGACAGTGTGGTGTACAGACCTGACAGTGTGGGGTAGAGGACCTGACAGTGTGGTGTACAGACCTGACAGTGTGGGGTAGAGGACCTGAC